CCGCCGCCGCCGCCAGGGTTCGGGTCCGTGTCGGGCTTGGCGGGCTCGGGGAGCGGGACAGCCTGGGGCGCAGAGGCCGCAGCAGGAGCGCACTGAGCGCCCCCGGCCATGTCTAGGAAGAAGACCCCCAAGAGCAAAGGGGGCAGCGCGCCCGCTGCCTCCGCGCTGCCCGCTGCCAACGGGCCCCGGCCGGCGCGTCCCGGGACTGCGCGCCCCAGCCCCGACGCGCAGCCCAACGGGCCCCAGCAACCCAGCCGGCACTCGCTTGGCGGCGGCGGCGACTTCTACGACATTGCCTTCAAGGTGAGCCAGGAAACCTCCTGGGCGAGCGCAGCAGGTGGCGCCCTGTCCGAGCGGAGGGGGAAAGGAGTCCGGGGAGGGGGATGCAGGGCGCGTGACCCTTGGCGCGGAGCTGGTCCGGGCGGACCCCGCAGCTGGACCAGCTGGCACGGTGCATCGTGCGCACACAGCTGTCGCGCAGGTTTGGGGTACCAACAGCTGGCAGGGCCTGCCCTCCGCCCCCCAGCTGGCAATGCCACACAAGGGGCCCCGTGGACATCAGTGCCCAGAAGGGCTCTCTCCCCGCGACCTCATGCCCTCGCCTCCATCCAGGCTCCAATCTCATCTTTCCCAAAATGCTGCCTTCCCTCACACTCGGTCTGTGGATCTCCCCTTTTTTGAGGGGGAGGGGGAGGCTAGGATCTCCCCCAGACCAAGGCAGAGGCTGTGTGGACGTAACAGGGTGTTGGAAGGACTGTCTTTGGGTTTGGGAGCGTTTGGCACCAGGGTGGGGCTAGGGGGCAGAGGGCCTGACTGCCCCTCCCTGCCCACAGACTCGGCCAGGGTCCCTCCTTGGGTCAAGAGGTGACCCTGGCCCGGCAGATTCCTCTTGAGCCTTGCTGAGATTAGTGTCCTTGCTACGATTTGAAGTCCCCTGGCACAGAGGCCACCACAAGTCTCTTAGGAGGTCCCAGCTGCCACCCCATCTGCTTTGCTCCCCATTAGGTCCCTCCCAGATGAAGCACTGTGTTGGTGGAGGGGTAGGGGATGGAGGCCCCATCCCCCGCTGACTGAGGTGGCCCATGGTTTGGAAGAGAGAGGCCCAGAAGCTGAGTGCCTAGGACAGTGAGGGCTGTAGCCTGTGTGTCTCCCAGGCCCTGCGGAACCTCAGCCCCAACCCGTCTGACCAGGCCAGCTCAGGGCAGCCAGACACCCCTTTGGGTGCCCTAGGCCTGACACCTCTGACCCTCCTGCCCACCCTAGGTCATGCTGGTGGGGGACTCAGGCGTGGGGAAGACCTGCCTGCTTATGCGCTTCAAGGATGGCGCATTCCTGGCAGGTACCTTCATCTCCACCGTGGGCATCGACTTCCGGGTGAGTCAGGGCTGATGTCCAGAACCCTGGCCAGCCCCACCTCAGCCGAGTCCTCCCAGCACCCCTGGGCAGCTAGGTCTGTTGTCCTCAAGGTACTGACAGGCTTACGAGGTGGAGCTCCTGGTGGGGCCATTCGGACTCCAGGGTCAGGGCAGCTCAGATGAGCCACCTCAGTTGCCAAGCTGCCTGCCTTGATTTCCTATCACCTGAGGAACAGGGATGGTTCCTCCATGCCAGGAGCTGGCACTACCCAGAGGAGGTGAGTGCTGGTGTCCCAGGGTGGGGGCAGTCAAAGGGGCCTCAAGGCTCATGTCCACTCAGGGAGCCAGCAGTGCCACCACACTGTAAGCACATGCTCTACCCAGGGCCCAAGGGGGTTTCCAAGGCTTGGTTGGGGGAAAGGTCCTCCAGCAGAGGTCTGCAGGGTTCTGGCTCCAGAGCCCCCACCTCTGCCCACCAGCCTGATTTCCTCATGCTAAGGTGCTGGTGTGTTCTTGGCAAATCTTGAATTTGCATTTTTCTCACCCTTTAATTAGACCCAGTTAGCCAGAAGCTGGGAAGGAGGCCCACTGGAGGGAGAGGGAAGGGGGCTCCCTCCAGTCTGCAGTTGTTCTCCACTCTGTCTGGGGGATTCAGCTTCCCTCAGGTCTTCTGGGATTAAGTGAGGGTGTGCCAGAAGGGTGAGTTAGGCTGCAGGTGGGCAGTCCTGTCTGTTCCGGTCCCCCCTGGTTCTTGGAAGGGGGTGAGAATGTTTGGTCTGCACCCCTGTTCCAGGTGCCATGGGAAGGCGAGGTGTCCTCCCCAGCCCAGCAGATGGCTGTGCTTGGTTCCCTGGAGACCCAGAAGCACCCTGGCAAGAGCTTGGGGAGAGGGAGGTGGCACACATTTCCACCACGCAGAGCCTTGGGCTGCAATTTGAAGTTCCCCACCCCCACTCTAGCAGATGGGACTGGGGTCTAGTCCTGAACTGGAAGGGGCTGGCTGGGAGCACTGTCAGCCAGTACACGAATACCAACTGCGAACTAGGCAGTGCTGGGCTCCACAGTGCTGCCCTGCGTGAGACACACATAGGTACTGGAAGACGCTTTTAAACTACAGCAAAGAATGACTAGGGAGCCTGAGGCAGGAGGTGATCACTTGAGCCCAGGAGTTCAAGCCCAGCCAAAGGACAGAACAAAGACTTTTAGCCCTTACTCCAGGACAGACATGGTCCTCAGTGCTTGCATATAGTAGCTCATTAAATTACTGAAGCAGCCATGTGATTGGCACCCTAGTTATCCCCACTTGTGGATGGGGAAACTGAGGCAGTAAGACTAAGGTTCACACTGTGACTTCAAGTCAGAGCAAGTGACTCTAAGCAGGGAGGGCTGGGGACAGGGCCAAGGCCCAAGTGCAGGGGAGGGCACGGGCCAGGCTAACGTGGCAAGTGGGCACCAGGAAGCCTGCCTGGGCTGGGCTTGAGAGGTGGCTGACAGGGATGGGATGGTAGCAGAGCTGCTGGGGCCCCTGCTGGAGCTGGCTGGTTCTGTTTCAGAACAAAGTTCTGGACGTGGATGGCATGAAGGTGAAGCTGCAGGTGAGGTGACCTGGGAGGGTAAGCTGGTGGGTGGGACCACCAGGGAGAGGCTGGGCAGCCTGACCTGTGTGGTATTGCTGCAGATGTGGGACACGGCTGGCCAGGAGAGGTTCCGCAGTGTCACCCATGCCTACTACAGGGACGCTCATGGTGAGGGTGTAACTGGGAGATGGGGCTGTGGCACAGGTCTAAGCACAAGGGTGCAGGTGTCCTCACTGCCCCTCTGTCCCCAGCACTGCTGCTGCTGTACGATGTCACCAACAAGGCCTCTTTTGACAACATTCAGGTCAGTGGCCCCCTTCTTTGTTCATCTTTTGAGTTGGAGTCTCACTGTCGCCCAGACTGGCGTGCAGTGGCCGCTCTCGGCCACTGCAGCCTCGACCTACTGGGCTCTGGCGATCCTTCCACCTCAGCCTTCCAAGTAGCTGGAACTACAGGCGCGCACTTCCACGCCCGGCTAATTTTTGATTTATTGTAGAGATGAGGTCTCACCAAGTTGCCCAGGCGGTCTCCAACCCATGGGTTCAGGCAATCCACTCACCTCAGCCTCCCAAAGCGCGGGATTACAGGCTGAGCCACCGAGCCCAGCGGCCCCCTTCTTGATGGGATGAATGGACCATGATGGGGCCTGGTCCAGTGTCCCCAAGGGTTCTGAGGACACTGCAAGAGCAGGGAGGGGGAGTGACAACCTCTTCTGGGCTGGTGGCCCAGGCTGAGCTCTAGTGACCTGGGTGCTGTTCCAGTTCCTTCAGTAGGATGCCCAGGGTGTAAGGGCCCTGTCAGGTGGGTGCCTCTGCCTGGCACACTGGGAGCACTTCCAGAGAGGGCACCCTATGCAAGGAGACCTGGCTTTAGGGCACGGGATGAGGAGCTGCGGCCTCCAGACTTGGTCTTTGCCTCTCCACAGGCCTGGTTGACAGAAATCCATGACTATGCCCAGCACGATGTGGTACTCATGCTGCTGGCGAACAAGGTGGGGCCTGGACTGTGCACTCCATCCTGACCCACAGGACAGGTGAGGGGGTGGGGTGAGTCATGGGCCAGCTGTCACCAAGACCCCTGTGCCCCTGCCAGGTGGACTCTGCCCATGAGCCTGCGGTGAAAAGGGAGGACGGGGAGAAGCTGGCCAAGGTGAGTCAGGGGAGGGTGGGTGAAGAGAGGGTGTCCTCGAGGCTGTGGAGCCTGGGCTGTCACCACTAGGCCACCACCCAGCTGGCAGCAGCTGTTTGCAGGAGTACGGGCTGCCTTTCATGGAGACCAGCGCCAAGACAGGCCTGAATGTGGATTTGGCCTTTACAGCCATAGCAAAGTAAGTCCCAGTGGCCACCAGAAAGTCCCCAATGCCAGTGTCTGGCCCTGTTACAGGAGGCCACCTTGTTTCCCTGTCACCCCGCCCTGCAGGGAGCTGATGCAGCGCTCCATGAAGGTTCCCAGTGAGCCTGGCTTCCAACTGCACGATTACGTCAAGAGGGAGGGTCAGGGGGCTTCCTGCTGCCGACCCTGACCTGGCTGAGCGCAGCCCTTCTCTGGAGGAAGCAACCCAGCACCCAGAAGGTCTGCAGGTCCTTCTGACTTTGTCACCCAGAGGCCAACCCCAGGGTGCCTGTTTCCAGGACCCAAGGTGGAGCCTTGCCCTCTCCTCCTTCTACAGTGACCTAAATCCTCAGTCCCAACAAGCAGGCCTCTGACAGCCAGCGGCCCACAGCCTCCCTGCATTGGCTGTGGCCTGAAGGTTGCCCACAAGGCCTTCACAGGAGATTGGTCTTGTGCCCAGGAGAGGAAGGAAGCCTGTATTGTCCTTGCCATGGTGATCTGCTGCCCCCTGCTGGGCACAACCAGTTGAGACTGGGCCATGGCAGCAGCATATATGCAGTGCCCCTTAGAAAAACCATGCCTTCACCGGCACACATGGCTCATGCAGCAGAGGGAGGGCTTTGCTAACCAGTACATACATTCGTGTCTCGGGAACCATCTGCTTCCAGCCTACCCACTAGGAGGCTCTGGCTCAAACATCGACAGGGTCTCCCTTCCCATGACCTTGAAGGACCCCTGTGGCTTTATGATACAGCAAACAGCATGTGGGGATCACTGATAGACCAAGAAACTACGACTGCCAGCCCAGCCTGTTGACCAGGGTACCAACTTGGTTATGGCACTAGGCCTGGCCTGCTCACAGCAGAGGTCTGCGACTGTGAAGGACACTCCACCTTGCACTAAAATCACCAAGTCGATCTTCTGATTTCAAGCCTTTGTTTTCAGTCCCAGTGAATAAAGTTGTTTTCTGGAACATTTGTCTCCTCATTGGAAAAAAACCAACTTTTAGAGCAGATCCTGGAATTTAAGGAATTTGACAAAGCCTAGACCATTCTGCACAAGGTGGCAACCTAGGTGGGTAGTGTCGACTCCCCCCTCCCCACAAATCCCAAAGTCAAAGAAAGGGGCACTCAAAAGCCTGTTACTGAAGACAGCTCAAGACTCATCCTAGGGGCATTAAAAAAACAACATTTTCGGGCAACCCTCTCAACAAATCCTGCTTCAAAAAAAAAACCCAAGTCTTTAAAAAACACTCTTATTATTTTTTAATAGCAATGAGGTCTCGCTGTGTTGCCTAGGCTAGTCTCAAACTCCTGAGTTCTAGCAATCCTCTTACCTCAGCTTCCAAAAGTGCTGGGATTACAAGTGTGAGCCACCACACCCAGCCAAGCAAACTTTTTTTCATCTTACAGTACAGTACCGTATAACAGCTGGCATCGAGTGAACAGGCAAGAGTTTCTGACTAGAGGAAGGAGATAGTAGAGCTAAGGATCATCAGCAACAGGAGCTGCAATTTCACTCACTGAGGTTGACAGCACAGATTCTGGTTCCTTGCTGAATTTATCTACCCTTCTGAGGAAAGACTCAGTGATATCTGGACAGCAGTTCCTTTTACAGCTGCAACAACTTTTTGTGTACCATTCTACGTTCAGGTCCTGTGATGTACCCTTTTGAATCAGCATTAACCTGAACAGGACTTGATGCTGACCCTGCATCCAAAGAGAAGTTTCTCCATCTCCTCCATCACTTTTCCACACTTCTTCGGTATTTTCGACATTGTGAGCATGGCAGACCTCACATGTTCCATGATCTTGTCCTTGTTTAGAAACGTGCTGATGATGGCTGAACGATCTTTTCACCTTGCTCCACTGCCTCAACTACTTTCACCTTTGTTTCCATCGTTATTGCTTGGCTCTTTTTAGCAGCTATCAGCTACATTTACTGCTGTTACACTTGTTTCCAGACACCCTGACGTCAAAAATTCCCTACATACAAATTTTCAAGTTGCGAGCTTTCAAAGGTGCAAATGTGTTTATATTAGATACCTAGGCTAACTTTTTTGGACTTACAAGTTGGATTTACCAACGAGCTCTTCCAACAAAACTGGAAACTCGTTCATATGTTGGGGGACGTATATTCTGCTTTACTGCTAAGCAGTTCAGATAGACCAAGAGCGGCTTTACCATCGGGTCCTCCAGATTGAGACTGATTTAGGTTCAAGATCTGTAGCCGGCTCACGACGGACCTGAAAGGCAGACAACACCGAAATGTAGGCCGAGGCCCTGCTCCCCCATTCCAGGTAAGACCAGTTTTCACTCCCAGGCCCTCCTAGTCAAGGGTGAGCGCCCAAAGCCTCAGTATCGCAAAATAATCAGACTGCGCATGCAGTTTTCATACGAGGTGTCAGAAATTAAAGCAACTCATCACAGGCTACGAACTCAATCAGGGAAACCAGGCCCAACCCAGTCTTACCTGCGGGAAGCTGTGGGTTTGAGACTCGGGGAAAAAAAACGTTCAAACGCTCAGGGTCGAAGTCAAGTCTAGGCAAGGGCTGGACATCCGAGGGCTTGGTCGGCCTACAGGGTCCGGGCTATCCTCAAGCTCCTTCTCGTTTCCCAGTCCGCCACCCTTTCCCCACCGTCCCCCGCTACCTCCCCGCCCACTGTCGTCCACATAGACAACACTAGAAACCACAACCGCCGCGCGCTCTACCCTGAAAGAACGAGAACGCGTGAAGCACAAGCTTTTATAGAAACTGTTCCACCTCTGTGATTGGACAATCCTAGCGGAAGTTCCCGCCTTCCCTCGCCACTGATACGCTCAGCTCTCCATCGCGTTGTTTCCCCCAATCGTGCCGTGGCATTTCTTATGGGGCGCGGTCTCTCGAGCCCAGACTTGAAGCTCCTCCCTTTTGCAGAAGCCATTGAACCTAACTGTAAGTGACGGATGCAGGCAGCCAATAAAACTCCGCTGCAACATAGAGTGATTCTGAAGTCGCCAATCCCGCCCCGCGGCGACGGGGCCGCCGGAAGTCGTAGTTTCCGAAGCGCCGCACGGGAGGCAGCTGCCCGGGCCACGACAGCCGGGGAACTACAACTCCCGAGGGGCGCAGCGCCTGAGCACTTCCGGCTCGGGCATCTGGTCCCCTTCCCCGCCGGCGGCCGAAGGGGCACCATGAAACGGGAGGGTGGCGCTGCCGCTCCCCGGCGGCCGCTGGCAGGTGAGTGTCCGCGCGGCGCGCTCGATCCGGGGCTCGCGCCTCGGGGCCGCGCGGTGGGGCGGGATCAGACGCGTCGGAGTCGGGCCGAGGGCGAGGGGTCTGGCCTGGGGGGCGGGGCTGACACGGTCTGGGGTCCCTGCGTCGGTTAGGCTGTCTGCCTGCCAGTTGTCCGTCACTCGCTCCATCCCCTCTTGCCCTTGTTCCTTTATTCATTCCTTCTTCTTACATTTATTGAGCACCGCCTGGGTGCCAGGCACTGTTCTAGGCGCCGGGAGACTGCGGAGAACCTGATCCCAATCCTCATAAGCTCATTTTCTGGTGCAGGGTTCCTCAACCTCCGCACTATTGACAATTCGGGCCGGATCATTCTTTGCTGCGAGGAGCTGTCCTGTGTATTGTAGGATGTTGAGCAGCATTCCTGGCTTCTACACTAGATACCAGTAAACATTCCCTTACACCAGGTGTAACAACAAAAATATCTCCAGATATAAAAACGACTTCTGGGAGGCAAAACGCCACCCCCTCCCTAACCCCTTGTCTAGAGAGACAGGGTGGAGGGACTGACAATAGACAGAATCCTAAGGAATTGTAATAGGGGATATGAAAGAAAGAAGCAGGGTGCTGAGAAAGTGAGTACTGGTCGGGGGGCCCGGGGGGGGGCAAGAAGAGGCGGCTCTACAGTTTGCGGAAGACCTGATGGAGAAGCAGCCAGTCCTGGGACGTTGCTGGAAGAGCATTCTGGGCACAGGGAGCAAGATGTACAAAGGCCCAGTGTGAGAAGAAGCGTGTACTTCAGCGAGTACTGGCAGAGTGGTGGAGTGGAGACGCGAAGTCGATGAGGCCAGCCCAGGTTCACAGGGTGCAGGGCAGGGGTTTTATTATGCTTACAAGCAGGTTCTTGGAGGACTTGAAGCACAGGAGAGGCTGGGGGCAGATTTAGGTCTGTAAGGAGCCTTCTGATTGTGTGTGGACAACGGACTCTGGGGTTCAGTGGGGAGGCAGGAGAGAGGGAGGAGGCTGGACCTCGTCTCTTGGTCCCTCTTGGGGTCTGGCTGCCCAGGGTCTAGTGGGGTTCTGCCCTGCTCTGCTGCCTGGCTTGCTTAGAGCTCCGTGCTGCCTGACCTGTCTGCCTACCCTTCCCACCACCCCTCAGACCCCTGCCCATGCACACACAGGCCCCCTAGCCTTCACCAAGCGCGAAGCTGCTCTCTTCCTCATCCCTTCTCTTTGGGCCTCTCCCTGCCAGGATCCCTTCCCTGAGTGGCAGGTGCCACCTGTTTGTCGTAATTTCCTACTTTTACTGCTGTGGGCATTCACATTTCTCTGTAGAAGCCCCAGTCCCTGTGTCCCGAGGTTCCTGCACTCTACAGCTGCCATCTCCCCAAGAAGCCAGACTTTCTCTCTGAGAGGAAGTAGAGACGTGGGCAGCCTGAGAGGGGTGACTGGCTGGGAAGGGGGTGGTCAGGAGTAGGCATCTCACCTGAAAGGTTCCTGCCAAGTGACTTCCACCGTGGCTGAGTGTCAGGATATTTCTGGAAATGAGTGGAAAAGATCAGGGTTTCAGTATGCACCGAAAAGTGCCTTTGGCAGATTGAATGGAGATCCGTGAGGGATCCTGACCCACTGCTTGCCTCCCCGCCAGGCTCCTCGCTCCTTCAGGGTCAGGTTGGTGTTCAGCCATAAGCGTATCCCCACCCGCCAGCACAGGGCCCGCAAAGGGCAGGGAAATGCAGCTGAAGGGCACGCTCCTGGTGTGGTGTGGGGCTGGCTCCAGGGCACGTGGGGCCCCAGACCTGTGGCAGCAGCGCAGGAAGCAGAGGCAACAGGGCTCTGGCCTGACTCACTGTGTGCCCCGGGTTGGTCTCTCAGCTTCACTTTCAGCACTCACAGAGGAGCTGCTGCCCCCGGCACCTTCACTCTTGACACCATCTGGGCTTCTTCCCCATGTGGGTCTGGTTCTACTCTGTTTTATAATGAGAAACTCAAGGCCCTGGAGGGCAAGCAACTTATCCAGCGTCACACAGCTGAGTGGCAGAGGTGGAATTTGAACCCAGGTCTGTCCAAGTTGGGTGCCTGTAGCCTTGATCATTCTGCCACACCTTCCCCATGACAGATATCTCAAGGGGTCAGTGAGGGCATGTGTGGGAGGTACCAGCACATGCCCAGCCCAAGAGCGGTGGCTGGATGTGTCTTGCCCTGAAGCTGGGTCCCTGCCGGCTTACAGTGTGTGGGCACCTAGGATTTCACCAAGTCTTCTGGCCGGCCCATGCAGGAGGGGCCCTTGCAGCGCACCCAGCAGCCCCTTGGCCTTCGACAGATGCCCCCCGTCCTCATTATGCTGGTTCCGGAGCAGAAGAGATATGGTTGATCCCTGGAGGAAGGTGCAGCCGGGGTGTGGGAGGACAATGAAGGCGGGAAGTGGGCACTGGGCACCAGTGCTGATGCCATGTAGACCTGGAAGCCCCTGGCAGGAGGAGGTGGCGACTGGAGACAAGGGGTGGAGGTGACCAGTCCCAGGAGCACCGGCTGGGAGGGGCAGCCTTGTAGAAGCACAGGGCTGAGGGGAGTAGGATGTTCTGGGTGCTAGAAGGAGGTGGGGACGCTAAACCTGGGGCACAGGGTGGGGAATGCTGGAGGAGTCGGGCAGACCTCCTGTGTGTCTTCAGATCCAGATCTGGCCAGGGTGTCTGCGTAGGCTCCCCAGCTGCTGCTGGGCGGCAAGGAGGAAACCAGGGAGACAAGCCACACAAGAAGCAGTGAGAAACAGCCCAAGGGACTTGGCAGTATGGGCTGGGCCTGGGACACTGCCGGGCACTTGGCTGTTGGATGAGGGGCGAGACCTGGTTCCACAAGTTTGAGACCCACTTGAGACCAGGTACAGTGGCTCACACCTGTAGTTCCAGCTACTCTGGAGACCCAGGCAGAAGTATCACTTGAGGCCAGGAGTTTGAGGCTGCAGTGAGCTGTGATTGTGTCTCTGCACTCCAGCCTGGAGTGAGACCCTGTCTCAAAAATTAAATAAATAAATAAATAGAGTGACACACTTGATTTGTTTGAGAAAACCAGGAACATGCCTTTCTGTTCTGCCCCTGCAGCCAGGTGCCAAAACAGGACACCTGCCATCTCTTCCTGTGCCCCAGAATGCTGTCCTGCTCGGTATCTGGCCAGCCAGGCCCTCCATGCAGCCTTCAGGACTTCCCCAGCTTGGGCCAGGTCCCTACACTAGAGGCAGCCATGAGATAGGAGAAAGAAAGGACTGAGAAAGGGTGCTGGGCCCCCCAAGAGGCTGCGAAGGGCATCCTTGTTGTGAAGTGGAGTTAAGCCCATGGTCCTCCAGCAGAGGGAGCTGTGAATACTGAGGAGGCCTGGCCCCAGACTGGAAAGGCGGAGAGGCTGGGTGGCAGAACCTGGGAGAGGAGGCCAGTTAAGAGGCCTCTGCAGAGTTGAGGTGCAGGCGCTGGGGAAAGTGGAGGTTGGTGTTGGGCCCCGGCGCTGGAGGGAAGGGAGCTGAGCTGGCCTCGGACCAGGGCCTGCTGAGCTTCTGAGGGAATCCTTGGTGTTGAGACAGGCAGAGGCCAGGGACACTCCAGGGCCCCAACGTCACGCCCTGCATATTTGGGATGGAAAAGATGTGCTCATGCGATGTCAGGGGAACAGCGGGGGAAGTGCATGTGGCTTTGCTATGACAACCAGGCCCGTTTCTACAGGATTTGGCGGTCTAGGCATGGGCCAGGGGGCCGAGGCAGGGACTGGGCGTCTGTGGTACTCTAGGCTGACTCTGTGATGCCCAAGGCTGTGCCTGGAGCTCTGGTCCCAGTCCAGCCCACCAGCCACACGTGGCTCTGGGCTGGCGGGGCTGAGGCTCCTCCCAGTGTGGTTGCGGGCCTGCTGGGCACACCCACCTCCTTGCTGGCCCTGCATGTGCTGTTCGGGGCCCCTCATCCGCTCCACTTGCCTGGGGTTGCTGGAGGAGGAGTCGCCTTCATGCTGGGCCTGGCCCCCTTCCCCGACTCCAGCAGGGGCCCCTGGGCTGTGCGCTCCACTAGCTGCCAGCCACAGGGTCCAAGTGGGCAGGGCCTCTGGCTCCGTGCGCCAGGCCCCTCAGGTGTGTCCCAGGGGAAAAGGGATGGGGGCCCTCGGGAGCGGTGCAGAGAGCCACTGGAGAATCTTACCCCGTTGATAGCTTCCTATCAGCCCCTGGGGCCTCAGCTGCTGTGGGGTGGTGAAGAGGTATGCCCACCCCGGGAGCCAGGGCACACCCCAGGGACAGCTGGTCCTGGCCTCCCAGCCTCCCAGCCGGTGGATGTGTGACCTGCAGGATGCTCTCCCTGCTGGGGCCTTGGTGGAGGATGCTGGGGAAGGCTTGCAAAATCCAGTCCCTGAGAGCCGGACCTGGGGAGGCTCCAGGCATCTTGCTCAATTCTGAGGTGCTAGGGTGGAGCCCAAGTGTGGGCCGGTCACAGATGGGGGTCCTGGACTCCAGCCCGGCGTCCCACCCACCCCTTCTCTGGCTGGGGCTGGAGGCTGAACCCTGGTGAACTGGGAAAGGCCTCCCATGCAGAACGGGTCCCCCTTCCTCGGCCCTGCTCTGGAAACTCTGGGGCTAGTCTACATCCCCCAGGCTGCTTGTGGCTGCTGAGCCAGATGCTATTGGCCAGGCCAGCCAGGACTTTCCGGCTGATTTGCATGTTGCCCTGCATGCCTTTCTGTTTACCTCACTTTGGAGTGAGGGAGAAGCCAGGCGCTTGCTCTCTCAGACTGTGAGCAACAGGCCTTCGGGAGATGTGGCCCGCAGGGCTGGCAGGCTGGCCAAGGTACCCGGGGGAGTGTCTGCTGGGGTCCCGGCCCCCCAGGCCTGGCCATCACTCACAGCTGGCCTTGTGGCCTGGAAGCTTGCAGTGGAGGGAGCAGATGGGTTTGTAAAATCCAGGTCAGTGTCTCCTAGCGGCCTTCCTGTGGGCAGTGGCAGGAGCCAATCTTGGGTTCCCGGAAGGGCTGAGCCTTCCGTGTAGCAGCTGAGTCCCAAAACTGGCTAAACTATCTGGGCCTCTCTTCACGCAGGGTGCAAGTGGCCGACTCTCCCAGACCTTCCTGCTTGGTGCTGCTGGAAGCAGGGCCAGGCAAGTGCCAGGTCAGAGTGGGGCTTCCAGACACACAGCACTCATGCTTCTGCCTGGGGCTGCCTCCTGCGAGCCCAGCTGCAGGTGCCTGGCATTGCCCACCTTCTCTGCGTGGACTGGCTTGCTGGGCATCCCACCCAGACCCTCTGAAGCCTATTCACTCTCCCACCCCTCTCGGTTCCCTCCCTCTCCCCTGAGAGGACAAGTCCCCCAGTAGCCTGGCCTGGGATTCTCAAGTCACGGTTGGGCCTGCGGATATCGGGTGGGCGGCCTGTGGGGACCCTGCCTCCACTCTTGGCTGAGGCTGGTGCTGTGGGGGTGAGAGTAGGAGCTGTGGAGTGTGGGTGTGCACCGGGGAGGGGAGAAGGTGGAAGGAGGCCTTGGCCAGGCTCTTGGAACCCCTCCTTTATCTGATGGACCCATAGGGTGCTTGGAAAGGGTAGGGCCGGGTGCCTTGTGCCAGTGCCAGTCTCAGGGGCCAAGAGCTGTCTCCTCTGAGAGATGTCAGGTTGGAGCTTGAGTCCTGGAGGCTGAGCAGATCCACGCAGGGGGGTGGCATTGCAGGTGGCAGTGGAAAGGGCAGGGATAACCTGGGCAGCCCAGGGAGAGGGAGAGGAGATAGCAGCATGGAGAATAGCTCAGGAACCCAGATGTGGGGGCCGCAGGGCCAGGCTGGGCAACCCCAGGGTACATTGCACAGCCATTGGTGGGTAGCGAGTGCCATCCCAAAGGCGCCTGCAGTGAAGTCATCACCAGAGGGGCCAGATCAAGTGGGCCAGTTGGAGAAGGTGCTAGAGCCACGGCACTGTTGCCCTCAAGCTGTGCTTCCACTGGACCCGGGCAGAGAACATGTCTCCCACCTTCTCTGTGTGGGCCAGTTCTGTGGGCATCCCACCCAGACCCTCTGGAGCCTGTTCACACTCCACCCCTCTCAGTCCCTTGGGGCCTTGGCATGCAGCTAGGCCACATGAAATGAGACTAGGGCCACCAGGGTACACTGTCCCAGGGAGCAACCTGTCTGTCTTGAAGGTCCCAGCCCTGGGAGGTGAGCCCATGGTAGCTTTTGAGGTAGAGAACAGGAGTTCTGGGCTTCAAGCCGGGGCTTTATGGCTCTATTCTCCACTGGCCCAGCCATGCTCTAAGCGTCCTGGCTTACAGACCACCCTGGAGCTGCCACTTGCTGATAGGGCCTGGTACCTCCAGGGGAGCGTGGCTGGGCTGCTGGAGCCCCCAGGGGCTGTGGTGTCTTGGCAGTGGACATCTCTGTCCCGGGATCTGTCCAAGTGTGACCTGCTGGCTAGGTCTCCTCTCTTCTCTTTTTCTTCTCCTGCAGGTATCCTTGGGCCTGGCCAGCACTCCCAGAGCCCACTAAGGGACTGGGTGTCTCATGGCAAGGACTGGGTACTTCTTGGCAGTCCCTCTCTTCCAGGGAGGGTGGGGATCACTAGCGGTGACCAAGGGTCACCAAGGGTGATTCCCGTGTGCTTTCCCCCTGCCATTCCAGCCTTTGAGTCCCTGCGTGGCACAGCTGGGAGCAGGGGTGCACTGCTCGGGTTCGAGGGTCAGGGCCCATCCCTCTCTTGGTTTTCTCCGTGAGACATGGCTCATGCGGAGTTGAGCTCTGGTGACTTCCTTGTATGAGTTCTTCCCCTGGGGTGTGGCTAGTGTCTCCACCATCCTACGAACTGGGCCGGCTGGGTCCTGACAGCACCTGCCATGGCAGGAAGCACGTGCATCCTGCTGTGCTGGCCCCCACGTGACTGAGTCCTGCCATGCATACCACCCTGGGCTTTACCCCCAGGCTAGCAGAGACACCCACCGAGGCCCAGCGTTGGCCCTAAGGACATTTGGCCTGTGGAGGGGTGGGCCTGGGAGTGACTGGCTGTGATTCAGGACCAGAGCAGCAGGCAGAGCCAAGGGTGGGGGTCTCTGGGGTGGAACTGGGTGGGCTCTTCAGAAGGGCTCAGCCTCGAGGGATGGGAAAACTGAGGGCCAGTGTTCCTCACCCGCCGCCTGCCTGCCCCAGGGCCCCTGCACATCCTGGTGGAAACGGAAGGGATGCTGGCCGTTGTGAGCCTGCCCGTCTTGGCGCTGTTGGGGAAAAGGGGCGGTGGGCGCCTGTGGAGGGCAGCCGGAGCCAGCCTGCCAGTGAGGCGGCCTGGCTGGCGGGCAGGTTTGGGCTGCGGAGTTCAAGCCCCTTGTCTGTGCTCTGCCTGCAGGGGATGCTGCCTGTGGACCCTAGATGCCTCTGTAGAGCATGAGCTCGGGCAAGAGCGCCCGCTACAGTCGCTTCTCCGGTGGGCCTGCCAGCCTCCCCGCTCCAGACGTCACTGCCGGGGTAAGGGCGCCTGAGGGTCTGCCCGCTGCACACCCTCAGTAGCTTCATGCTGACTGAGCAGCCCCCCAGCAGTCCCCTCCCAACCAGGGTGGGCGCCATTTGCTGTACGTGTGGTGTGGCATGTCTGTGTGTGTGTGTGTGTGTGTGTATGCTGTGTGTGTGTGCAGTAGGTCCACACATGTGCCTTTCCTCTCTGGGGACAAGGCCAAGTCTCCTCCATTCTCTCTCCAGACCAGGATGGAAACGACCTTTGGACCTGCCTTTTCAGCTGTCACCACCATCACAAAAGGTGAGCCTGTCACTGGGGCCAGCCCAGGCTGTGTAGAATTGGGCGCCCCTGTTCCCATCCCGCCGGGGCAGAGGGGTACTTTCCTGGTGTTGGAGCCCAGTCAGCCAGGCTCTGGTCTCTGCTCCAGGTCACCTCTCAGCCTTGGGCCTCCCTGCTGACAGGTGTTGGCCATCCTGCACCCACACCTCAGTGGCTACCCTGACTTCCCAGCACCACCAGGCACACCTGTCCCTTGTCACAGGGACTCCTGGCTTGGCCCAGAATCCTAGCTGCCCTCTGGAAGGCCATGCGTGCTCCTGGGGCACCTTCTCCAGTTTAGCCTGATGGCCTTGGCTCTGATGCAGCATGTTCAAGGAGAAAATAGCGGGCACAGCCTCCTTCCTGATGGGGCCAGGGCAGGGGCCTCCATTTCAGGGCGGGGGTTCTGGGGCAGACCCTATGCCTTTTGGAAGTGCCCTTTGTGGAAGTGCACCGGCTGCTAATTAGTTTTTTAATTGCTTTCCCTTGGCTTTCTTTGGATAAACCTGGCCATAGTCACAGCGCCGAGTGCTGTTGCTCACACTTGCTCCTGCTGGGGCACCCTCTTTGGGGCTCGAAAAGTGTCCTCTTTCTTTCCTATATTTCTTTTAGGAAAAATTGAACATCACCCTGGTCTATAGTCAGGAAAGGGCTCCTTAATTTCCCATCTACCCTTTAGAAACTGTGTAGTGCCTGGTACATGGTTCAAAGCACCCAGGTCAGGGCGACACAGGCCTGGCATATGGCCTCATGGCAGGGATGGGTCAGAGCTAGGCAACCGGGGACCAACAGTTGCTTCACTCGGACCCTCTCATCACAGAAGGGGAAACTGAGGCCCAGTCATAGGGCAGCAACTGGAAGTCTAGATTGCAAGCCCAAGCCTTGGGGCTGGTTGTGACAGTTTGGCTGGACCAGAGGCCAGAGGCAGCCACCCCAGGGCCCCTGGCTGAGGGAGTGAGGCTGTGCCTAGCAGGCTGGGAGGTAGCTCTCTTGGCTCCATGTGAGTGACCAACCAGCCCCTTCTCAGGGCAGCCCTGCCCTCTGGTCCAGGCAGAGCTGGGGCAATGTGGGGGCAGGAGGGGGGCATTGCCTCAGCACCTTTAGAGGAGACCAGAAAGGCTGGGCCAGCTCCTGCCTATGCCTGGAGAGGAGGGCAGGATGCAGCCCCATCCCCACCACATACCAGATGAAGGCTTCCTGTCTCTGCATCTCAGTTTCCTCTTCTGTGCACTGGGGCTGTCAGAGAACTCACCTGGAAGGGTTCTCTCGAGGATCAAACAAATAGCCTTCTAGGTGCCCTTGGGTGTAGTTACTGGGTGTTGGCCGTGGCCTCAGCTGTATCAGTGGGTGAGGGGACCTTGTGCAGGCTCTGAAGGGAGTACCCTCCTGGGGGTAGGCTGGGCTAGGGGTTTTGGGCTTTGTGCTGGGGCTGCCCAGGGTGGGTCAAGCCTGCAGACAGGCTTCTGGTCAGACCTGAGAGGCCACCCAAGCATCCCCCGCCCCGTCCCTGCTCAAGCCCTGGGAAGGGCTGCAAGCTACAGGTGGCCCTGGGGCCCAATGTCCAGCACTGCTTCTGCCTCCCCCACCTCCACACTGCCACCACAGTGCAGCCAGGCACCTGCAGTAGCACACACTCACGCGCCTGCCCTGTTCTCTCGGCAGCTGATGGGACCAGCACGTACAAGCAGCATCGCAGGACGCCCTCCTCTTCCAGCACCCTCGCCTACACTCCACGGGATGAGGAGGACAGCATGGTAGGTCCTCCCACTATAGGAGCCCACGTGAGTCTCAGCCTTCCCCATACCCTCTTTCCCTGGGACCAGGTATGGGTTGAGCTGACCATGAGATGGTGTGCTGGAGGGGAGAGCCCATGTGGACACCCCGAGGCCTGAGAACACGTGGCAGATCCATGACACTAAGAGGAGGCCCCTGCAGCTGGAATGTGGGAGACAAGAGGCAGCCAGTGAGGGTGGCCGGGCTGGAGGGCATGTTTGCCTCCATCTTAAGGGAGGTGGGAGCCGCAGATGGCTCAGTCAGGAGGGTGACAAGATAAAATCCATGCCTCGGAAGCTTCCTCTGCTGCTGAGTAGGGATTGCTGAGTCAAGGTAGGAGTCAAGGGGGATCCTGACAAGGGGAGACAGGCCTGGCATACGGGGAAATCCAGGGGAACCTGGGCTGTGGAGTCAGCAAAGAGTGGAGGCCTGTGGAGCAGGTGCTGAGGACTGGGAAGCTGAGAGCTTCCTGTTGCTGGCCCCGTGGCATGAAAAAGGGTTCAGGGCAGTTGAAGACTCGCTGTTGATGTCTGAGCCCTGTGGCCAGGGCCTCGGTGGCCATTCCCTCCCAGTCTGGTCACTGGTGCTCATTGCTGGGTTCTGGCCAGACAAAGCTCCTGGGCATGAAGGACCAGCGAGGGGCAGAGGCCTGATCACGCTCCAGCCACCCAGCTGCGCTACCTATCCTTGCCCTTGCTTTCTGTACTGCTTGGGCCCAGGTGTGGTGGCCCTGCTAGTGGCATTTCTGCCCTTCCCACCTCTATCAAGACCTAGGCTTCTCCTTTTTTTTTTTTTTTTTTTTTTGTTGG